GGACTGAAAATCTGTGAGACTCTTAAATTCCAATATATTACAAAGCAAAACAAACAAACAAAGCCAGAAGTGGAACTGTGGCTCAAGAGGTAGAGCAACAGCAAAAAAGTTTAGGGACAGTGCCTAGGCCCCCGAGTTCAAGCCCCAGGACCAGCGCGCGCATGTGCGCGTGCACACACACACACACATGCACGCACGCACGCACACAACACACACACACACACACACACACACTAATTTGTGGCTATGCTCTGAAGCCCAGTGACTAGGTAAGTCTTTGACACCATGTCAAAGAAGAAATTCAACAAGTCTTTGACACCATATCAAAGAAGAAATTCAGCAGCTCTTTTTATATGAAATGGCCTTGGAAGTGGCTCTGTGGCTCAATGTGGTAGAGCACTAGCCTTTAGGGAAAAGAGCTCAAGGACAGCACCCAGGCCCTGAGTTCAAGCCCCACAACTGAAAAAAAATTAAAAAGTTAGCTGGGTGCCAATGGCTCAAGCCTATAATTGTAGCTACTCAGGAGGCTAAGATCTGAGGATTGCAGTTCGAAGCCAGCCCAGGCAGGAACGTTTATAAGACTCTGATCTCCAATTAACTACCAGAAAACTAGAAGTGGAGCTAGAGCTCAAATTGGTACAGCAAAAGAGCTCAGGGGTAACACCCAGGCCTTGAGTTCAAGCCCTATGACCGACAAAAAAAAAAAAAAAAGGCCTCATTTCTTTCAAATATAATTAAACATAAAGGCTAGAGCATGGCTCAGGTGGTAGAACACATACCTAGCAAGACTGGGGCCCTGAGTTCAAACTCCAATAAGGGGGAAAAAATCCAAACTCCAAGAGGAAAGGGGCTGGGGAGAGAAAATATAGTCAAATGTTGGAGAATGTTGGTGGCAAAAGATGCCAGCTAGAGAAAAACTTGGCTAAGAAATTTCTGAATACTCATATTTCTTGACTTGGATTTGGCCTACCATTACTGTATCCAGTGACATGCTTACTGAAACAATTTCTTCCCGTGCTCATTTAATTAATTATGGGTGTTGGCATAAAGATACAAATTAAAATTTGTTAAATTGAGCCAGGCATGAGTGGCTTATGCCTGTAATGTTTGTAAACCTAGCCATTCAGGAGGCTAAGTCCTGAAGAACTATGGTTTGAAGCCAGTCCAGGCAGAAAAGTCTGTGACATTCCAAATAGGCAGAAAAATGCTGAACTAGAGGCATGATTCAAGTGATATAGATTCAAGTGATAGCCAATCCTGAGCAAAACAACCAAGTGAGAGTATGAATCCCTGAATTCAAGCTCAGACACTGACAACAAACAAACAAATAAATAAATATTTTAAAAAATGGTCCCACCAGTAATGTGGGAAGCAGATTTGTCAAATACTAAGATCATTTAAGAGCATATGACTCCAGCCACAATAAATATTTAATAAGTTGGGAGCAATGGGAGAGCGTGATTAAGGGGTGACATTGATAAAAATGAACTGTACTCATAAAGTGACGGGTTGAATTGAAACCCCTTTGTACAACTACTTAAAGACAATAAAAAATTGCATAAATAAAATATAAATAAATAAATTAAAATAAATATTTAATGGATTATTTGTGAAGACTAACAAATATACTTTGGCATATATTATTGCCGAATACATTAGAAATATTTAACACTTTCATTTTTTTCACAGATTAAAAAAAATGAAGTCTAGAAAGGGGAAGCATAAGTTAACTTTTTTTTTAAATGACTCTGGGTTATCAGGATTGCAAGTAATTCCTCAATCTAATGGTCATTTGCTTTCACCATAATATTAATGAGCCATTCCTCTTAAAAGAATGATTCACCAAGAGCAGGGCAGACTGACCAGCAGCTTTCTGGGCTACAATGAAATCTTCCCACTCCAACCACAATTTATAACCTGTCTGTGCTACAGGACACTCACAGTTGGTCCTGACCCAAAAGGGCTCCTGCCCTACCCAATCAAAATGGAGTGAATGCAATTGCCTGGCACTGCCCTCTAGCCTGCCACCACTGAGAGATCCACTGCCCTCCCTCCTTGGGAACCACTCCTCTTCCCCTTCCCTCATAGCCAAGTGGAACATCTCAAGCTAATGATGACTCTACAGAAGAGAAAAGAAGCTAATGACGTTGGGTAGGGAAAGCAAAGAGAGGAGTCATTACTTTTGCAAGTGCATCACCTCTTCCAATTGCTATGGTGTCACCAAAGATAGTCAATTTGTGTAAGAAGAGTAACAGGAAGTCTGTGTATTTCCTGTAAAGAGAATTCCAAGTCCTCTTTAGTAGTCAACCAAAGGAAATGTTGGATCTCTTCGTTTCCTGAATTGGAGGCTGGACCCTGCACAATAATTGTCATGACCACCACAATCTTTTACGTACCCTAGCATGTTGGAAATTCAAGACTCTGAACAGGTAGATTGAGCCTTTGGCTGATCCCTCTTGGTTCCCTATTCATTTGGCAAGAAGAATCAGAACTGCTGCAACCTTAGGCAGTAGCTGAGATTCCCTGTCCTTTGTAGTCTAGTTTGAGTTGGAAAATTGGAAAGTCATAGGGTCAAGTACAGTAGGTTGAAGTTCTTTTATTATTATTATAGACGTGTTGTATAGCCAGGTGCCAGTGGCTTACTCCTATAATCCTAGCTTCTCAGGAGGTTGAAATCTGAGGATCACCCTTTGAAGCCAGCCTGGGCAGAAAAAGTCCCTGTCAAACTCTTATCTCCAATTAACCACACAAAAAAAACAGAAGTGGTGTTGTGGCTCAAGTGGTAGAGTGATAGTCTTGAGTACAAAGAGGCTCAGGGACAGCGTCCCGGTCCTGAGTTCAAGCTCTGCAACCGACAAGAATAAAATAAAATAAAGGTGACACAGGGAGGGGGTAAAAATTCGTAACAGGGTAGAAGGCAAAAAGAAAGGTGGTACTGTGATCCAACAGTACTTCTTTATTTTATTTAGCTTTTTTTTTGGGGGGGGGTCCGGTCGTGGGTCCTGAACTCTGGGCCTGGGCATTGTCCCTCAGCTCTTCAGCTCAAGGCTAGTGTTCTACCACCTGAACCACAACGCCACTTCCGGCTTTTTTCTTTTTGCTTATGTGGTGCTGAGGAGTCGAACCCAGGGCCTCATGCATGCAAGACAAGCACTCTACCTCTGAGCCACCTTCCCAGCTCCTCTAATAGTACTTCTTTTGTGCCAGTCCTGGAGCTTGAACTCAGGGCCTGGGTACTGTCTCTTCGCTTTTTCACTCAAAGTTAGTGTTCTACCACTTGAGCCACAGACAGCTCCACTTCCAGCTTTTAGGTGGTTAGTTGAAGATTCATGGACTTTCCCACCCAAGCTCACTTAGAACTGTGATCCTCAGATCTCTGTAGTAGCCACAGGTATCCTGCTAACCATACCTCTGAAAATTAATTTATTGAAACTTTATTATAAGTCACTAAGGCCCTGTTAAATTGCAGATTCAGATTCAGTAGATCTGGAGTGGGGCCTAAAATTCTACATTTTTAACTACCTCACAGATAATACTGATGCTGCTGGACCCACAGTAGCCAGGCTGTAAAGAACTGGAACTTCACAGGCCCCTGAGTATTTGCAGTCCAGGATTCCAGGATGGGGTGTCTGTCTCTCCTCAGTGCCTGCATTTTTCCCCTCTCTTTTGCATTGATAAAAGAGTGCTGTTCTTTTCTGACCAAAGAAAGCTAGAGGGTGGGTAATTAGTGAGATCCTTCTGGTATTCTTGATCTTTGTAACAACCTGCTAAAGCTGCAAGAACATTTTTAATTAGACCAAATTATCTAGTTTGGCTGTCCATTGAAATCAAGGCACCAGCTGATACGTCTCTTTCGTTTTGCTAGTATAGAGATGGCTTATGTGCTGTGATTTTTTAAGATGTTAAACACTGCCTGTGGGCATATTTTATGGAGAAATAAACACACAGCCCAATGAGATGTATAGTGTGGTTTTAATATATTGTATATTTACTTATTTATGGGGAAAATAAACACAAGCCAATAAGCTGTGTATTATTACTTTAATATATCGAATTTATTTCACACCTATATATTTTATGAGGGAGAATAAACTAATAAGATACACGATAGTATTATAATAACACATCTAATTGTTCTATATTAATTTATGAGAGAAATAAGCGCAATTTAACATGACATAAGATTATTTAATGCACGAGATGAATCTATATTAAGACAGTTTAAGGGATTAAATTCCAGCTGAATAAAATGTGGGTTACTTCCCACACTGAGGGCCCAACTGAAAAAAATAAATAAATAATAAGCCATGGGCCTGCCTAGTGACCTGCGAGTCTCCTGCTTTTCCTGCCAGTTGCTGCCTCTGGGTGCCTGGTACTCCACGTCCGGTTCCTGCTGGTCCTGGGGAAAAGTCTGGGAGGCCTTGGAAATCAACTGCGTCTCAGCGGAGGGGAGGTAGCCCCCGCGGTGTGTGTTCCTGAGCTGGAGAAATATTAAATAAACCTGAGGTGGATGAATGGCTTTCCAGGGCCCTTTAAATCTCCGCGTGCCTGAGAACAAACCCGGAGGCAGACACGGGCAGAGATCGATCCTGGCTGGGCCCGCTTGGCCTCCGCCGTGGCCGAGCTGAGCTGATCGGACCCGGAGCTGGGAAGGGAGCAGGGGCGGTGGGGAGAGGGATAGGATGGCGGCGTTGAGATGGAAAATGAAGTTGTTGGCCCAGACAGCAGGACTGCGTGCGGAGAAAGCTCTGGCCCGACTTCAAATCCCGCAAGGAGGATCAAAAGTCACACTCGGCAGGGAAGAGCCCGGCCTCGGGGCCAGCGGCTGGTCCCCTCCCCTGCCCACACCCACGCGGCCTGTCCTGCCACCCCCAGCCCTCAGCATCCATTGGCCTCATTCTTTAAAAAGAAAAGGGGGGGAATGGGGGTGGGGGAAAGAAATAGCTAGAAAGCTGTCAGGTCTGGAAGTCTGGAGGAAAGTAGTGGGGGGGAGGCTCCCCACACCCTGGACCCCCGCGGCGCATCCCTCCCATGGCTGTCATGGCCGCCACGATCTCCTCGCTGGCCCTCCCAGGCTGCCAGGCCTCAGCGCCATTTTGAGCATCTTCTTTGCTTCCCGGTCTCCCCCTCTGGCTCTCCCCGCGCCTCGCTTCGCCCTCCGTCTGTATTGTCCCGACGCGGCCCGGGCCTCCTTGGAGGCTTTGTGCTCGGGGGATCGAGCCTTCCCCACCTCCCCCGGATCCCTGGAGGAGCCCGCGGGCGTCGGTGTCCGCCCTGGCCGTGCCACCTTCTCAGCTGGCCTCTTCACTTGCCCCTTTGGAGATGAGTTATCATTCCCGAGCATTTGGCCCTGCTTTCCCAAGAAACCCACAACCAGCACCCCACTGCCGCCCGCACCCCACCTCGCTGCCCCGGGAGATCTGGACCCAGGCCTCAGGTCCCCAGGCTTCCAGCGTGAAGGGAAAAGCCTCTCTGCCCGGCTTGGGACCCCGGGATTCCTCCTAATTCAGTTCAGCCTCGGCGCTACAGCCGCCACTCCCAAGCTCATCCCCGAAGCCTCCCGGCACCACTTCTTATTATTTCCGATCAGAAACCAAGAGAATATCCATACCGGGCCAGAGACTTGGGGGACAGATGAGAGAACCACCCCTCGAGGCTACCTGGAGCCGCGGCCGGGCAAGTGGTCCCTACGCAGCAGTCACCTTTGTACCACCCGGACTTTGCCAGCGTGGAGAGGGGCGGGGGAGGGTAAGGCCACCGGCCGGACCCTCTCCCTCCAAGACCAATCTTGCTAGGGTTCTAAAATGAGGGTAGGTGTTGGGGACGGTATAAAGAAGCTGAACGTAAACATAAGACTCGTTTTCACAGTATAAAGACATTTATTTAATCTATGAAAATAATGTACAATAAATATTTCCCCTTTTCCTATTATTAAAGAATTTAAATAAATAATCTACATGTAAAACTTAAAAAAGGAGGAAAATAGGTCCCTCTAATTTTTTTTAAGAAAGCCCTCCTAGGGTTTAATTATTCCTGAGATTTCGTTGGAAGGAGTCTACCAAACAGATTTTTTTTTCCTGTGACATTTTAAAAAGAGAAAGAAGGGAGCGGGTTTAATGCTAATTCAATAATACCTGAATTTTAGCAAACCACGTTAGTAAATGCGACTAGGGGTAAAGGATTGATTTTCTTTCTTTCTTTCCTTCTTTTTTTCTTTCCCAACAGCCAACCAAGGAACGCAGGAATGAAAAGAGTCGGGATCGAGGGAGGAAATGGATTAGGGGAACTGCAGGTCGATGGCACAGAGCGTGCTGGTAAAGAAGTCCAGCTCTTCTTCCGAAAAGGGGATCGGGCTGTCCAACGAGCCCTGCAAGCTGGGGGAAAGGCCTCCGGACAGCTGGAGACAAGAGTCTGTGGTGAAGAAGTTAAGGTCAGGCAGGGAAGGCGAATCCTGCCGCTCGGGGAAGGCGTCTTCCAGCAATGGCTCGGGCTCCAGCGCGCGCTCTCGGCGCAGCGCGCAGCTGGGACTCAGTGCGCCCGCACCCTCCAAGTGAGAAGCCAAAGTCTCCGGGCCGGGAGCGCCCGGGGGACCCGGAACAACATCGGCTGGTTGAAAGCAGACTTCCCGCGCCCCCTGAGAGGCGGAGGGATCTCGCGGGCTGGCCGAGGGTTCTTCAGGTGGGTCCCCGGTGTCCTCTAGGGTCCCCGGGTAGATGGGCTCTCCATCAGGCGGCTCTCGGTGCTGCGTCTGCCGCTTGTGCTTCATGCGCCGATTCTGGAACCAGACTTTGACTTGCCTTTCGGTGAGGTCCAGCAAGGCCGCGATCTCGACGCGTCGGGGCCGGCAGAGATACTTGTTAAAGTGGAATTCCTTCTCCAGCTCCAACAGTTGTGTGTTGGTGTACGCCGTGCGCAATCTGCGCGCGCCGCCGCCGCCGGGCTCCGCCAGTCCTGGGCCATCTGCGGAGGCAAGCAGCAAGTCGGGGCGTCACCGAGGGCCTACTTCAGTTCAGCTGCGATCAAGGCTACCCCGTCCGCCAAAAAAACAATATGAGCAGTCTCTTCACACTCCAACACGGCTTGCTCTCCCACCTTTTTCGGTTCTTTCTACTCCCACCCCGGAGTGGCGAAGCTGGCTCCCGGGCAGGGCACGGCATTCCTAGCCGCCCACGGGCCACGTAGGGGGCGGGGAGCGGCTTGCTTTCATTCCCAGAACCAACCTCCCCTCTTCCTTCCCAGGTCCTCCCAGTGGATCCCTTGATCCAGAACTTTCCAATTCAACCTGGGGAAAGGGTTCATAAATATTGTGTTTTACTCCTTTTTTTCTTTCCTGGCTCTTAAATTCTCCCTTCCTCTGCTAGGGTTGGGAGAAGGAGGAGGACGCATCTTTTCCTGCCTTTAGATTCAGTCGCAGCAATAATGCTCATTCCTTTACACGGATAAGTGTAAAAATCTCAATCGAATCCATTTCTTCTAGCATGGAGGGGGGAGAGAGAAAGGGGGGGCATTTTTTTCCTAACCAGCTTCCAAAACTTCTATAGCAGAATAAAAATGCTGACAGTGGCCAGGCCTGAACCCCAATGGGACGTTTTGCTTCCCTATCCCACGAATCCACCAAGCCCTAGAACCCCAACAGGCTTGCCACTTTTCTTTTTTTAACCACCCCCATGGCTCTTTCTGCCTCCCGTTCCAGCTGCCCCTCACCCCACCCCCAGCTTACCGACCTGTGGGCGATCCGACCCCGGGGGCCGAGACCGAGGAGGCGGCTGGGGAAGGAGACGAGGCCGATTGGCTGGGTTTCTTGGCGGATTTCTTCTCTTTCATCCAGGGGAACTCGGGGGCTGGGGGGGCGACGGGGAGCGGCGGTGGTGGAGGCAGAGCAGGCCCATCTTCGGCTCTCTTCTGGCTCTCGGGTCTCTGAAGGGTGGAGGCGCCGGGCTGGAGGCTGGGGAAGGTTTGCTCCAAAGGAGGAGGAGGAGGAATTAATGTCGACTCCTTGATTGATGAAGTTTGAAATGTCTCCAAGACAGCGGGGAAGGAAGTCAGACACTCGGCGAGCGATGGCTGGCTGTTTATAAACCCAATCTCCCTCTCAAATTCAAAATTCATGGCTTTCAATGGTGGGGGAGGGGGCCTTCTGGGGGGGGCGTCAGGAGGGAGGATCGGAAGGGACCCCCCCTCCCGCCCCCCCCCAGGTTTATGAGATGGAGCGATTTTAGGAGGGGGGGGAGATTTTGCTCTCTCCCTCTTTTTAAATTTTGGGCCTTTATAATTGTATATTGCTGATAAATACAAGCGTATGGGGACTCTCTCTATTAAACCCAGGACTCCCAGCGAAATTGCAGGGAATTCGTGGTCACGGGACCGGCCTTGGCCAATCGCTTTTCTGGGCCTGGTGGAAAACAGAAAGCATTATTTGCTTTAATTGATTCAAAAACTCCAGAGGACCACAGCCTGGACACCATGAGCCTCCCCATTCCTACACCAATGACTCTCTTTCTCCAGAAAGGCTTGAGGAACCTCTTTCTCCCTTTGGGAGACTGGAAGGTTGTAGGAATCTGAGAAATAACCAAATCTATAGGGAAAACATTCCTGTTTTCTGGCCAGTATTCTCCCTGCCCCAGGAAAAGAGAGAGAATCTCAATGAGGGAAGAGGAGGCAATAAAAAGAAGCTTCTATCATTTGGGAAAGGTATTAGGGTGCAAATAAAGGGAAGTGATTTTTCCCAGCAGCTGCACTATTGTCCCTATCCCTGCCCCTAAAAGCAATAGTTCAGTCTTGGGAAGTAGACCAGCACCCACAGTCTGACACAGAAAAGTGACACACACATGAGGAACAATTTGGGGTCACTAGCTTCTCTCCATAGCTATGTAGCCTAGCTTCCCTTCTCTTGCCCAATGTTTACAGGAAGCTCTTTATGTCCACTTGCTTTCCTTTTGGGGGGCACCTACATCCCTCTCTGACACCCCTGTCTCTCCACTCACACACATACATGTAGCAGAAGATATATATGTCCCTCTCAACCTTACCCATATCTGTAGCCAGAAGCAGGAACAAGAACCAAGGTAGAAGCCATCATTTAACTCTCAAAACTCAGGTCAACACATGGGGTAGAGGGTGGCGATTCTTCCCTAGGACAAAGAGGCTTTCCCTCTCATATTTGTCTGTGTGTGTGTGTGTGTGTGTGTGTGTGTTACAAACCCTTAGTAAGAATTCCCTGAAGACCATACAAGAGGAAATAATGATCACTAAGATGATATTCCATTTCTGGCCTCTGGAGAATTTTTTCTATTTTTTTTTTATTGTAAGGAGACTAAGATAGTCTAAACTTTAATGCTGTAATTTGCTAAAGGGAGGAGGCATAAAACTCAAGAGCCACAAGCAATTGGTGGGAAACTAGGCCTCAAAGCAGAAAATGAAAAGTCGATCTGGAGGAAGATTTTTAAATAAGTGGGTCAGAGGGACGGAGAGAAGATGAGGCGATCAATCTTAGCCCCCTGACAGCTCTCTCCGATTGCATCAAAGAATTTGGCTCTTTGGGAAAGCAAGAGGGAACAGCCGAAATTCCATATCCCTTAAAAAGGCCTGAGGGGGGGGTGGCAACAGAGAAAGGTGATTCTGGGAGAGCCAGGAAACAGATGGGAAATGGGGACAGAGGGAAGGCGTTAAGTTGGGTGGAAAGTTTGCCTGAAGAACTCCCACGGATCTGGCCTCCCCTCCCCCCTCCTGGCTCTCTATTACCCTGCCGGGGAGGAAAAGGCTGGTTAGCAGAGAAATGGCAACTCAGCTGAGAGCTGGAACTAGAAACTTTCTGTCAATGTAACATCGGCGTGGGTGGTGGTGAGTATTTAAAAAGAAGGGCAGAGAAGTCTGAGTAGCAGGGTGGGGGGTGGAGGAGAGAAAAGGGGAGCTGGAGGTGGGGGCTTCAGGGATAGGCTCTGGAGAACTGCTCTGAAACGAACCAACTAACCAGACAGGGTGGTTTGCAACTTAGCTGCAAAGGAAACCTTTATTTTACTTTTTGTCATTTAGAGGTGAGGATGGGAATGGGCGGTATCCAAATAGTTGCAATCTGGAAGTTGTGCAGGGAGGCCTTGGAGAGTGGAGTGCCTCTGGCTGACCCTATAGGCTCTTGTGTGCTTTCTATCAGCCACTCCAGCTGGCTTCAGGATCCAGGGCTCCTCCAAGCAATCAGGCAGAGACTGTCCCTATAGGAAATACAACTCTCTAACCCTTGCTGACAGGTTTTATGGCCAGATTAGTGAACAGCAGAAAACTTGGGTGTTATAAAGGGTAAGAGTGCCCTTCTGTCCTGCCAGGAATCATACAACACAGATATTTTTACCCCTATCTTTAGCTGAGTCTGGAATCCAGCAGACAGAAGGTAAGGAACACCAAGCCAAACCAGGCTGATTTTTTTTCTTTCTTATTTGCAATCCCAGCTTCAAGCCAGCTTTTTGTACTATAGCTAAATCTTCTCTTGGCCTGCCTCTGTCCTAGGAGATAAATAAGCAATCCACTCCACCCTCCACCCCCAGACCAAACATGGCCCTTCATCTAGTTACATCATTCAGAAAATGTTATTCAGGGAAGAGGAAGAGAAAAAGAAAAACCCTTGAGCGTTATTTGATCCCAATCAAACTTTGCACGCTCTTCTGCCTTTAAATTATAGCCTGACCCAATGCTAAATTGCTTGCTGCCTGGATGGGCTGAGTCCAGTTAAAATTCTACTTGATGGGGGGAGGGGCTGGTATAGAATTCAGGTTGCTTTTTTATTGTTATTTATTGTTGCATAAAGACTGTAATTACTAACCTTGGACTGCCAAGATGCAACATAAAAATGAAAATCAGCCCTCTCTTTAAGGTTGTGGGCCTAGAACAATTCTCACCCCCTCCTATACCACTATCACCAAATATATGCTCCTAATTAAGCAATGCGGGTGCATCGCTTACAATTAGAATTATGCAACTCTTCAGCAAGCAGCCATTGCTTCTCTTTCAACGAATTAGCTCCATATTTCAGCCACCCTGTCTTCTCGCTCTTATCGGCTCCAGCGATTCAGTGGTGACATTTCATCTTTGACAGACCTTCTCTATCCTCGCTCCAATGTGATAAAACTTTTATGGAACCACGACTAAGAAATGAAGTTTTCCCAAGGATCGTGGAAACAGAGCTGCACATTAGCCTGGGGACCATTTTATTTACGTTTGGCTCCAACAGCTTCTGCCACTCTCTTTTCCCTTTTCCCTGGCAGGGGAAATCAAACTCGCTTCCTCTCCCTCTGCCTTAGGTTTTATT